GTCTGGAGCCTGGAAGGGTTAAAGTAACGGAGAGCTACTGGAAGTGCCCCGCTGCAGGGGGCTGCAACCGTCCTCGGGAACTGTACTAGCCCTCACTTAAAAAAAAAATTAAAAAAAAAAAATCAGAGCACACCCTCTCCCTGCTTCTTCTAGCCTTGCCCTCACTCCGACCAGTCATTACCAAGCTCAAGGAAAAATGTGCACCGAGAGAAAATCTGCAGTGATCTGTATTTTAAAAGCATGATGGTGCCATTCGCAGCACCGATACCACTGTCGGTGCTTGGGTTGAGACCGGCACAAATTCGTTGCCTTTTTCTGGAGCAGAATGGTACGGCTCTGTCCCCACCTCTGGCTGTCAGGGAAATTGGTCCTGCTCTCGTTTCCTCTTCAGCAAGAGTAAAGCAACAGCCAGGAGCTCAAGAACAATTCCCGCATTGTGCGGATCCACTTGCAAGAACAACACGCTATTACCAGTGGCACTGGTGAAAGCCCACCAAAAACTGGAACAGCAGAAGCACACACCATCCTCTGCATCAGAAGAACTTCCTTCTTGCTTGACAAAGATGTACAAGCCCCTCTGAAAAGAACCAGCTGGTTACACAGCACCAGTGTCCACCAGATGTCCCACACTGGGACAACTGGGGAGTTTGGATTTGTACCCTAGGGCAGAGGGCAGCACAGCCTGAAGAGCACCGACAAGCTTCAGGGAAATGCCTGGAAATTCCCCCATTCGAGGGGTTCTTCAAATGCCTCTGGGTCCGCTTCACTCCCCTGAGCTCTGCCCAGGTGCATCTGCAATCCGGTACTGCAGAGAGCCGACTGCGTGTGCTCCTCTGCTCTCCCTGGGAGCCCTCACAGCCCTGAGCTGACAGAATTCAAGCTCCAAAGCAGCTTTTCCAGCTACAAAAGCAGATATCCACCTCTTTGGCCAGACTTCTCGGAGTCAACTTGTTCGCCTTTCTCCACCGCTGACAAGCACCGCTTAAGCTCAAGTCTGAGCCCCCGCTACCCAATGCCCGTGCAGGTCGCAGCCTGCTTTTCCATGCCTGGTGCAGCAGTTTAACGGTGCTCCATGAGCTATAACTAATATTTCTGCCCCTGGGAGTTGAAAGAGTCAGACTTCAGGAAAAGAAAGGTGTTTATCACCTGCTCACAGCACATCCACCACCAGCAGCTGGCTCTGGGCAGCGGCAAGGGCTGGAGTCAGAGCTCTCCTGGTGCCATCTAAGGGAGACCCTTGCCCAGTGCTCAAACCATGACCTCAGCTTGCAGCTCCCGTCATTGCTGCGTAAATCTTCGTGCCACTAAGGAGAAAGCAAGAGTGTGATCCAGCATCAGCATCACTCCACACTTCATGGAGCCTACTATCAGGATATAAGCAGGCTGCAGGGGGGAACCCATACCAAAAGCAATGTTCAAACCACTGTGGAGCAGTTTCTTGAAAAGAGAAGCTGAAGCTTGCTTGTATTTTCACTTTAAAGCCACCCAAACACTCTTGCTTCTCCTTGCTCCGTTACTCACAGAAAGCATTTGCACCAAACTCCCCAGGGAGATTCCTCAGTCTTCTCCCTCCCATTTAATGCCCACGGGGGAAGGAAAAGTTACCCACTGAAACTGCATCTCGGCTGCTACAGGCATCGCCCCAGCCCCCAGCGTTTAAAAAAATCATAGCGCACAGCCGATGCGTGGGCTTCAGGCTTCCTGCACAGGCACAGCAGAGCCGTCAGCTGGAATTTCAAAGGGAACCCAACCGACAACAGCATTGGCTACTGCTGAAAACACAAGAGTTTAAGCGCTCAGCATTATCCCCCAAAGCCTTTTGTAAATTTGCTCTTTTACAGGAAGCCCTGCTAGATTACGTAATCCTATGTGTGAGCTGATGTCAAGGGCTATAATTAGTTCCAAAAACACACAGCTCATTCCATTTCCTGTAAAAACCAGCTTTCAGTTTGCTTTTGAAGCAACTCTCGCGCCGGCCACACAATTAAGCCCTACCTTGAACACACAAGCTCAGCATTGTAGGTACAAGTCACCGTGTACGATCCAATAGCCAGTTCCAAGTGCCACCGCCTTAAAACATTAACCCATGCAGGAACCCCTTAACCCTGGAGTCGATCTGTACCAACCTCCATTACGCTGCGGAGTTACTGTTCTGCCAGATATTTAGGGTCTCTCAAAGGTAACGAAGGACGTAAAGGACAGCACGCCAGTTCTGATGGTTTACTAAACAGCCTTTGACGAGCAAAAAGACTGCCTCCAACATGGGTGAAGAGTTTCAGACCTATGAAAGCAACGCACCTGCCGCTTAGGTGGGATCTGCACTGAGTGTCACTAGCTCTGTGTTCCCGAGCTCTACCTTAGCCGGCTCTAAGCTCAGCTCTGCCAATGCTCGCAGGCTCTGCTGTGCCAGTGAAGTGACTGAAAGAAACACAGAGAAGTCAAGGGAGGAAGGACGCGGATGCTCCAAAATCTGAGCTTTAACCAGCAGTAAACCAGGGCTCTGCGTGGAAGCTACCACCAACAGTGGATGCAATGACAGCTCTAAAGCAGCGCAGGACAAATTAAGGATTTACGGCTGG